ACCTGACGGGGGCTAATACCTCAGGCACGGGCTCCACGCACCTGACGGGGGCTCGTGCCTCGGACATGGGCTCCACCCACCTGAGAGCTTAGACTGCCTGGCCCACAAATGAGAGCAGAGAGGACTCCTGGGTGACTGCATGGGGTAGAACCAAAGATGGAAGAGTGGCCGGGCAGGAAACATCGCCCACAATGACCAGGTGCCGAGGTGGCCTGCCAGGCTCACCAGCCCAAGGCCCCCACCTGTGGCATCAGGAGCCAGGGCACACTGTGGTTGAAATAATTTTCATTTCCTCCTGCTGCTGACATTGCCGGCCGTAGGTCTTCATGGCGAATCACTGTCCACTTCTGCGCGGGTTCCCGGAAACCCGTTCCCTCCACGTTGCACTCCCCATCCTCCTCCGTGTTTCCCCCATTGACTCCTGCGTCTTTGGCTCCAACACTTGCTTCCTGGGGATCCCCAGTGACCAGCTGTGCTGGGGGTCTTCTGTGGGGAATCCCAGGGGCTGCACTCTGGGGCTGTCTCTTATACACATCTAGGGGATCCCCAGTGACCAGCTGTGCTGGGGGTCTTCTGTGGGGAATCCCAGGGGCTGCACTCTGGGGGGTCCTGCAGGATCACCCTCGTGACCAGTCAGCCTCAAGCAGGCAGCTGGGCTGCCCTGAGAGCTGCTCCTTGGCAGGTTCAGCCTCATGCTTCCCTCGGTGTGTCCCTCCCACCCAGGTACTTCTTGCAGCCCCGGGACAACGGTAGCAAGAGCCTAAAGCCAGACGACTTGGGCTCCCTGCGGCTGAACGTGGTATACACGGAAGACCACGTGTTTTCTTCTGACTATTACAGCCCTCTGCGGGACCTGCTGTTGAAGTCTGCGGACGTGGAGGTGCTTGTCCACGCCGTGGCCTGTGGGTGTGGGTAGGAGGTGCCACCTGCCTGGGGCCCCGCCCCACGCGTTGCCCCACCCCAGAGGGCACCTTGTCCCTGAGGGGCCTTTCCCACGCCTCCCAGCCCGGCCTGTATCCCGCCCAGATGCCTGGACCCCTTTGCTGGGGGCACTGGTCTGTCTGCAGGTACAGCCGTGGGAGCCTGGTGATGCTGAGGCCTCGCCGGGTTGTCTGAGGGGGATCCCCATCATCGGGGTCCCTCTGCTGGCTCAGGAGCCCTAGAGCTGGCCGCATTTGGGGGTTGCTAGGAGGAGGTGCAGACGCCCCTCCAAGGGCCCAGCCAAGCAGCAGCAAATGGGAAGTTTTGGTGCTTTTGTGAATATATGTGTTTCTGTCTCAGCAAAGAGCCATATCTATTGTGGCTGGAAGTGAGACCCCAGGCAGGGTGGGGACAGGCCTCTGAGGGTCCCACACCCTGGGCCCCGGCACTGACCTCGCCCCTCCCCGCAGCCCGTGTCAGCATCCGCGGCCCACATCCTGGGTGAGGTTTGCCGGGAGAAGCAGGAGGCGGCTGTCCCACTGGTGCGGCTCTTGCTGCACTACGGCAGGGTGGTGCCCTTCATCAGTGCCATCGCCAGCGCGGAGGTGAAGCGGACCCAGTGAGTGCCCGCCCCGTCCCGTCCCGGGGGAGAGCGGCCTGGACTCGCTGCAGGGATGGCGAGGTCGTCGCTGGGAACCACATCCTGGCGCAGGGCTTGAGGGAATTCAAGTGTCCCCAGAAACCGTGTGGATTCAGGCTTTTTTCACAGACCCAGTTAATGATTCTTTTTTTTTCTTTGAAAGCCCTGTTTGCCTTTGAAATCCCGGGTAGAGTGAGTGAGTGGGGAGGGAAAACGGCTCCCAGGGCTCGAGGACAGCTCAGGTCCCCTCACTGGGGCACTTTGGGAGCCCATGAAAATGGGGCACGGCTTCCCTCAGGACCTGCTGAGCGCTGTTTCCAGACGCCTTATTCTAGAAACATCCAGCTGCACCTGTGGCCACCGTAGCTGGCAGGAGGGGTTTGCTTCTCTGCTGGCCCTCGGATCCTGCCAGAGTCTGGTGCTCAATTCTCTGTGCAGGCACAGGCCGCAGAGGGCGAGAGGACGGGAGCAAAGGCCAGCCAGGCTCCTCCTGAGCTGGTGGTCATGCGGGCAGCCGAGTGGTTTCCTCTGGCATTGTTGACATAGGACGGTTCCATGGGCAGGGCCTCGAGCTCCTGGCCTGGTTGTGCTCCTTGTAAAACGTCAGGAAACCGACGAATGGGCGTGCGCTGACCTCACGGCCCACAGGCAGGTGCTCGGGGCCAGGCTCTGCTCCGATTTGCTCTTCCACGTCCCCAGGAGACAAACACTGTCCCCATCGCCATTTCCCAGGGACCCCAACACCATCTTCCGAGGAAACTCGCTGGCGTCCAAGTGCATCGACGAGACCATGAAGCTGGCGGGGATGCATTACCTGCACGTCACCCTGAAGCCCGCCATCGAGGAGGTGAGCACGGGGCTGGAGTCCTCAGCATTGCGGGGCATGGGGAGGACTTCCCCCGACAGGGCACTGCACAGGGATCCAGCCAGACCACGAGCTGGGCTTGAACATCCACTCCTCCAGCCTTGCTGCAGGGATGCTGATTCACTCGCTCTTATCGAGAGGAGGTTCCCTGTGTACTCCAGAACCTTCCAGATTCTCCCGAATCAAAACTATACATAAGAAAACCCACCATTCGCAAGAAAAACCTGGCTCTTCCCAGGGAGACCTTTCTCCACACGTCCTGCGGTCCCCTGTGTCTGGGCCCTGGCAGCGTGGCACGTTTGAGCCGCACACCCAGTCCTCACTCGACCGTCTGATGCCCGCATGCCAAGTCCTCACCCCACCCTCTGATGCCCGCACGCCGAGTCCTCACCCCACCCTCTGATGCCACCAGGTTGTGCCCCCTGTTTATGAGCAGCTTTGTAAACAGGCTCTTTGCAAACATGAGAACATTTAACACAGCATTCCGGTTTGTTCTGTGGCAAAATCACAGCAGCATTTTGAAGTGAAAATATTATTAAAGGCCTGCGAGGCCTGGTCTGTGTGGCTGGTGCACATCAGCACATCGCTCCCCGAGAAAGCCCGGCTCGTCAGATCACGGCCGCACATCCCTCTCAGAGAAAGCCCAGCTCATCTGATTGTGGCCATGGACTGGGCCCCGTGCCTGGCGTTTGCACCTGACCTCTCACTTGTCCCTCGGCAGCCTGTGACACGGGCCCAGAGTGGCCCCCTTTCAGCCAAGGCTCGGGGCGACACCACCCCACGGTGGACCTGCAGTCCGGCATCACCATGCCCCTCCGTGCCTCACCGTGCCCCTGTGTGCCTCACCATGCCCCTCCGTGCCCCTCCGCGTCCCTCCATGCCTCACTGTGCCCCTCTGTGCCTCACTGTGCCCCTCTGTGCCCCTCCATGCCAGTGGCCGTGTTCGGGGAGCTGTTGTGGCATTTTCTGGATGAGGCTCAGGGTCTGCATCTCAGCCAGGCCTGAGCCCCCCTCCTCCCTCCCTGCCTGTGCCCCCGGAACCCACTCACAGAGCCCCGTCTTAAACCTCTCCCCAGATATGCCAGAGCCACAAACCCTGTGAAATAGACCCTGTGAAGCTGAAAGATGGAGAAAACCTTGAAAACAACATGGTAGGTTTTGTTCATGAATGCAACCAGGGCCAGTCACCTGCTTGGGGTCTTTCAGCCGGTGGCTGCCTGGAAGCTCTGACTCACCCCATGACCCCGGCTGGGGTGGGCGCAGGACTGGGCGTAGGGATACCTGCCTCGCCTGGCTACAGTATGCTGGCTGCACTGCTGGGAGGCCTTAGCCACCGCCTTTGGCCTGGCCTGTGTGCCCAGCTCTGCTTCCCCTGGGGTGTCCCGGCCAGCTCTGCCTCCCCTTGGGGATCTGGTCTGCACACCCAGCTCTGCCTCCCCTTGGGGATCTGGTCTGCACACCCAGCTCTGCCTCCCTTGGAGGGTCTGCCCTGCACACCCAGCTCTACCTCCCCTGGGGCGATGGCTCCTGCCCCCGCCTTTTCCTGGGACAGGATGGCCTCCCCGCCTCCCCAGGCTGTCCCCAGACCTGTGTCCCGCGTTTTAAAACAACAAAACTCCCTGATGTTGAACTTGCCCCAACATTTTAGTCACTTCACATGATATGTGTTGCAGACAGTGCTGTTTGGTCATCTCTGTGTGTAAATGACCGGACAGAGCTCTTGCCTCGGGCAGGCACGTTCTAGTGAGTGTCCGTTCTCCACTCAGTAAACAAGGTCGGGGCAGAGCCGGGGAGCGGACGTGGCGCCCCGAACAGGGTGTAGTGATTTTCACAAGTGAATCGCCACAGCTCCCAGCACAGATTTCCAGGGGGTGGCTGTTCACACGTGTCTTGCTTCTGTGGCTGCCCTGCGCCCGCCCTCAGCCCCTCCCCACGTGCCCCTCCCTGGGTGTGTCCTGGTGCTACACGCGCCTGCGGGCAGCCTCGGCAGTGGGTCCCAGTACCGTATCCCGTTGCAGGAGAACCTACGGCAGTACGTGGACCGCGTCTTCCACGCCATCACCGAGTCCGGGGTGAGCTGCCCGACCGTCATGTGCGACATATTCTTCTCACTCCGGGAGGCGGCGGCCAAGCGCTTCCAGGGTGAGTGCCCCGGACACCCTCGTGTTGCTGAGAAATGGCCACAGCCCCGTGCAGGGTGACTCCCACCCAGGCAGAACCTCCGGCAGCCCTCGCTGGACTAGAATTGTGAGGGCAGGAGCCCCAGTTCAGAGGCTGGATTTTTCCAGGGTTTTGTGCCTGGGCCAGTGTTCCCCAGTTTCACAACTGCAGTGGTCTTTGGGGTCCCCAGCCCTGGAGTTCCCGACCGCAGTGGTCTTGGGGGACCCCAGCCCTGAAGTTCATGACCGCAGTGGTCTCCGTGGGCCCCCAGCCCTGGAC